AACACAAGGAAGGAGCAGGTTAATCTGGAAACACATCTTACAATGTCAATAATGTGTGAAAACTGAGATTTAAACCTGCACTTTATTTGTTTGTGCTCCTCACTGTCCAGAGGATAGTGAGAAGAAGAGAGCAGAAAATCATATTTTATAGTGCCAGTTGTCAGAATTTATAACCAAATTCTTGTTTAAAACACTGGAAAGATGATTAAAAAATAATAAATAGCAGATGGTGTCGTTCTGCTAGATATTGTCTGCCTGTTGCTTTAGAAGTGCTCAGAATGAAATCTAACAGGAGATTTGTTGTGCAAGGACTTCAGTTTACTGCATGTCTTGCTAATGAGCAACACTAATTATCAAACTCATCAATCCCCTTGAATCTCAAAGAGTGTCTTCAGTGGGGATGCAGGAGGAAAGCCTTGATCATGTCTGGGATCTCTGTGAAGCGATTCAGACTTCATGGTCACATTCACTTGCACAGTTGCTCAGTAGTAAAGTCTTAAACTCCTGCCTTGATTTTTGTTTAAAAGTCGTTCTGATCTGAAAGAAAAACAGTGTTAATGTGAAGATCTTGTATAAAAATGCAATTAAGAATGTTTACAACCAGATTATCAAAGGTATCACAGTCGTCTCCTCCAGTGCCACCTGCTACTGTCAAAGAAATGAAGATCTCTTGCTGATGGATTCTGTTTTCACTCTGAATACAGTATTTATTAAAATGATCAGTTAAAACTGTGAAAGCTGGGGCTACTCATAAAGAAGAACACAAATCTGTACCTTCTCATATGACTAATAATTTGGAAAAAGACTTGGAAAGAATTCCCAGAGCAATGAACCCTGTTCAAGGATCTATGGTTAATTGTGTTTTAAGATGTCCCCAGTTCTCAGCTGCATGGTCCATTTGCTGAATTTATTAAAATGACACATCTATTTGGAACCCTCCAATGAGAACCTGATTAAATTTTTTGCCTCACTTGTTGGTGATCCCAATGTTGTTCCTTCTAATAAGAGTTGACTCCATTTATCATTAATGTCAGCATTTACAGTTCCATCAATTTTTTAAGAACGTTTGGTCTCATTTATAATGTGCTCTGTGTGCCAATAGCACAAGGTCTGGTGTCCTTTTTGGGGGGTTGGTTTTCCCCCCCTTATATCACATTAACATTCATTAACAGTCACTTTCTCTGCTGCTGGAAGTAGGTATTTTTTAAAAAGATAACAGCATGACTGAGGGCCTGTCCCTGTGTTCCTCAGCATGAATTTAGGCAAGCAAGCCCTCAGGTTGTTTTATCTTTGATGACCAGTCATTTGCATTAAAAATGTACTGTTCTCTAGAGCCAGGAAGGAATTCACATCATTTTTCCTGAAAGATCAGCTGATGAGCCTTGAAGTGTCTTTCTGATTCTTCAGGAGCAAACAAAATCCTTGCAGAAATTAATCTGTTTGCAAAGATTAACGACATTCGCACTTTTAGGCCTGTTAAAGGCAGTGCTCTCTGAGTTTTTGTAATTTCCTGCTGGCTCTACAGAACACTTTTTCAAGTGAACATGTTTTGAAGAGAGAATTTGACTGAGGTTCATCCTCTTACAGCAGAACCGAATCAGGTACCTGTTGTATGAAAAAATTTCTTGTTTAGAGCAATTGGCAAACTAAAGGAATTGCTGTTCTGCTGCTGAGCAGCCTCTTGGGGAGCAAATGAATGGTCCTTGGTTATTGTCACTGGGATGTGTCACATCAGAGCTCAGACCATGGGGACACTTCAGCACACACAAGGATTCACACGTGGGGTGTGGATGCCTGGAAACCAGCAGCAAGCCTCAGGTCTTAAAGTTGGGCTCTTTTTCCTCCATGTTTTAATTTTCCAAAACTACCCAGTGTCTCTCCTGGATATTCTTGGCCTCCTGACTTCTCAAAGTGCATGCAAAAATAATCAAAGAAATAAAAGCTTCCTGGAAACCTTCCTGTTTCTACCCCAGTGGATAGAGAGCAGCTGAGGTCAATGATTTCCTCCACTGTTGGGGTTCAAATACAAAAAGCTTCCCTACTATGCTTTAAGGACAGACACAGGGATCTGGTCCTCAAAAGCAAACACTTCTGCAACAGAAATAAGTGAAATCAGAAACTTTTATTCATTGGGAAATTCTTATTCTCAGAGAAGGAGAGATTGGACTGAGGAGGAATGTGATAAGCAAAATCAGATGTGTGTCCTGCAGGTGGATTATTTTGAGCCCAAGCAGCTGGACATGTCAGCTGGCAGGACACCAGACAGGTGTTTGTCACCAACCCACCTGAGCTGAGGATGCTCCTCATGCCATGAGAATTTGGCTGAGGAGTTTGGACCATTTGCTGAGCACAACCAGACTGTGCAGCACGTGGGTCTGTCTGCTCTAAACTCCTCAGGGAATTCAGGTGTGAAGGATGAGATCCTTCCTTTGGACACCAAAGGGTCATGGATCTTCCAACCACACTTCTCATATGAACAGCTACAGTTCTGAGACTGGAGAGACACTGAACTCCATCACGCCCTCCAGCTGTGATTTCAAACAGCACTGAATCTCTTGGGCAAGGATTGCATATTGTGCAGCTTTGTAAACTGGAGACATTTTTACATCTGTAGCTGACTACAAGAACTGCATAAATAAAATGTCAGATCCTTAGCAAAACAACATAAAAGAGCAGTTTCTACTAATACATGCACATTTTTTAGACAGAAAAATCCTGTTTAACCTTTCTGATTTCAGAGTGCTCATAAGAGGTAAAATTTCTACTTCCACTCTTTATTTTCCTAATTACCTGATTTCATTAACTCGACATTAGAGCTGGAGAAAAAAATCTCAGTGAGCTTTAGCCCTTTCAAGACACAGCGAGGCTTAAAGCTCAGGAAGTGATTTGTGTATCCTATTAATTTTCTAACTTGTAAACAAAGCCTCAGTGTCTTGTGCAATAACCACATTTCCAGCAGCATGAGGCTCATTAGAGCCCTAACATCTGAACCCCTACATTAAAGGTCCCTGGATCATTAATCTGAGCAGGGCTGCTCCTCTCAGTGTGTGCCCACTAGAAGGCACCATCTGCTAGAAAGTTGTAATCATGAGGAAAAGGGAAGAGCTTCCTTAAATAATTCCATGTGAATGTCTCCAGGTGTAGCATTAAATTGGCTGGACAGTGTCTCTGGCTGTGCCTACAGGTGTTTCACACCCAAAGCATATGGAATCAACATTGTTTTCCTTTGGAAGGCAGTGCAAATTTGTTTTTACAGTATGAAGGACTGAATTCCACGAGCTCTCAAGTCTGGAGGAAGAGCCAGTGATTTACTGTACATTGTCTTTAGGGCAGAGATTAAATGAAAAATCCTCTTAAGGATATCATAATTCTGGATCATTTATCAGTGGGTCTGTTTGAAAACATTCATTTATTGTAACACCATTCCTCTACTGACAGAGGATCATTCCTGCTGTAAAGGCAGGAACTAAAACACCAGAAGGGATGAAAGAGCAGTTTCGAATTTATTGGTGTTGCCCAGAGTAAAATACACAGCCCACATATCTCCTGTGATCTTCAACTTATTTCTGGGTTCTCTGGTCTTAATTCAAAAACAAAACTGCTACTAAAGACTGGCTGTGAAATCTGTGGCTGAAGACCTGTATGGTGTCCCTTGTAATTCCTGTCATAGAAAAACACTGATTTTATTTGCTGTTCCCTAATGTAGATCTTTTGTGAAAAAGCAGCTGCCCTTTGTAGTTACCTGAAGAGGGTTTGGAAACAATGGCTCTTTCCTTGGGAAGAGCTGAAATGGAGCTCTGGAGAGTCAGAGGGGAAGAGAAGCAGGGGCTGGAGGATGGTGGTGATGGAAATCGAGGGTAGGTGGAGGTGAGAGCAGTTAAAACCAGTGAAATGTTAAATTTATGAGGGAAAAAAATCCCTAGTGAAACACAGGTAGAATCTTTCCAGTGGCTGGGAGAACCCAGCCTCCTCTTAAAGCTGAAATAAAGTTTTCAGTAAGTTTTTCTGACACAGTAAACTTGAGAAAAGCAGAGCTGCTGTTGCTGCACAGGAGACACTGCAGGCAAATTCAGGACTCACCATTTCTGCCCCAGGAAGAACACGGGCACATGAGAATTTATAGCTCTATAAACATCACACAAAATGGTCCCCCAATTTAATACACTTTTGGTCCAATGTTCTAATTACCTGCTGAAATGCAGGTCTGACAGGGCATGAATCATCACCCATTTATTACACAGAGCACACCTGTAATTCTAAACTATATTCTCTGAGCAGCAGCTGTGTTAAAAACCTTTCTGTAACTTAGAACTAAACATAATTTCACATGGAATTATATACTTAAACTAGATAATGCTTTAATATACATGACCTGACTATTGGTTACCACATAACAGTTTATTAGATTTTTCAATGACATTACAAAGAACCTATGGCTGGTATTACAAGGTATATTGATACATTTCTTATGTTCACAAAATTCCCCTGTTATTATGAGCTTTTATTACAATTGTCCCTCGGTTTGGAAAAATGACCTGTCATTTTGCCCTCACAGCACAGAGATGCTGATTTGGTGGCATTCATCCCTGGGGGTTTTTAAAAAGAGATTGGATGTGGCCCTTAGTTCCATGATATAGTAATTGGAGTTGGATCAGGGGTTGGACTTGATGATCTTGGAGGTCTTTTCCAACCCAGTCTATTCTATGATTCTAAAGAGCCATTTAAGTGTGGCCCTCATGCAACTGCGGAGTGCCACCAGTGCCCGCCGAAATTTGGGGTTGAAGCTGGAGGAGCAATGCAAGGATTGTCAGGGATAGCTGACAAGGGTCATTTTTCTTCACAAGTGACACAGTACAGACTCTCCCAAACACAGTTTTCACTGCCAAAATACTCTATAATGTAACCCATGAAACTGCAGGCCCATAAAGGTGGATATGATTAGAAAAGCAAACACTCCTCTAAACCAAGCATTGTGAAGAGGTGCAGATAGCTGCTATTCCAAGAGAAGCAAGGCTTTAAAAATCTAACTGGATTCTGTCATTTTTGTTCAATATACCACTGCTTTGCTACTAAACTGTTTTGTCCAAGGAGCCAGTGATTTAAACTGAAAGCCCACATGCACTCTAAAAACACCATCCCTGTTCTGTCCAGCATCACCACTTCGACCACAATTCCTGTTCAAAGGTGATGCCAAAGGACACGTGGACAGTTTCAAAGCGGAGTGTTAAAAAACTTCAATCCCATAGTGAGACTGTTCATAGTTAAGAGTTCCTTGCCTGCCCAGATGTCCCAGACGTGAGTGGCAGTGGTTGCTCAGCTGTGCACAGATGGTAGATCTTTATTTCTGGTCTGTGTTCCAGGAACACACAGCTCAGGTAATACCTGGAGCAGGAGGGATGGTTTCGATGTCCAGTGTCTCATGTTTCCAAATCCACCTTATTACAGGTATGAAAAACCAACACATAAACCCCAACTAGTGAGTGCCTGATGCTTAGAACTAAAGACTAATGCTAAGTTTCAATCTTGTGCTTCACTCCACAAAGTCACACAGGACAAGGCAAGGTTCCCATTTAGTGGGAGTCACTAAATGCTGAGCTATCAAACATGAAACATTTAGAAAAGTACAGGGAAGAGAAAAAAGTGACTTCACGAAAAAAATGCACCCAGTAGTTGAGATCCATAAGATCTGTGTTTTAATAACACAACCAATTGATCCTCGTTAACAAGAATTAAAAAAAGTGAAATTACAGTACACAAATCAAAATATAAACTACCCTACCCCAACTATACAATGTACATTAGGAATGCAAGCTCTGTAACAATATAAAAATGCTTTTACACACAGGAGTTGCAAAAAGCCATTCTGTAATTCCAAGGATTTGTAGAAAAAAGAAAAAATCAACTTCCAAGATTCATCTGGAGTTATTGGCAACCTGTTGGGGAAAAATAATAAGAAAACAGATTAAAGAGAATCATGTTCCTCAGAAATTTTCATCTGGGGAATTCAGGCCAAGGGAAATGACAGAGGGCAATGAAGCCTGTAAGAGTTTGGGTTTTTTGTAAAAGTAAAAATAAGTATCTTAACAAGCCAAAAAATATCTGTCCCAAACACTATACAGGCTGCATAGAATGCAAGACATGACCTCAAAATCTCAAGCCTAAGAGAGGTTGAGACATGTCTGTCTTAGTCACTCTTTAAATCTAACATGAAACATGTAGTATTTTATTTACCAGTTGCCTTACATGGATTACAAAAATCAAGTTGTCCACAAATTGAAGTGAAATCTCAGTGCCCAGACACCATAGTTAAGCACCACCCTCCCCTTGTTTATGCTGTAACAGTCCTGGCACCTGCATTGCTCCATTTCCCTCAAATGCCTCCAGCAATTTTAAATGCTGTCTTGTGCTGCCCTGTCACCTGAACGTATCTACGTGTTTTTGGACTGGATTTTGAGCTGCCAAGAGGATGAAGCATCTATTCCTCCAATGTTTCTGTAACACAGGGGCAGGTTATCAATGAAGAAATTACATAATAATATATGATATCACATTTTCCTTTCAGTAAGAAATTTTTTTCTCCAAGGAATGTTGCCCTAGGACACGTCTTGCCTCATCCCTGCAATGCCCTGTGTGAGTCACTACTCCCTGCAAGCTCCTCACTTACACACAGGAGGAATTTACAGCCCCTGTGACTCCACCACCTCCCTGGGCAGCCCCTTCCAAAGCCTGACCACCCTTTCCATGAAGAAATTCTTGCTGATGTCCAACCTGAACTTCCCCTGGCACAGCTTGAGGCCGTTTCCTCTCCTCCCGTCCCTTGTTCCCTGGGAGCAGAGCCCAACCTCCCCCGGCTCCCCCCTCCTGTCAGGGAGTTTGCAGAGAGTGAGAAGGTCCCCCCTGAGCCTCCTTTTCTCCAGGCTGAGCCCCCTCAGCTTCCTCAGTTGCTCTCCAGACACTCCTCCAGCTCCACTGCCCTTCCCTGGACACGCTCTCTGCACACAGCACAATTCCCCACTTCTGCTCTGCACAAATCCCACCTCACAAGCCAAAGAAAAGAGTTCCACCTGTCAAAGCCAGTAATTTCAAGGGTTTGTTTCAAGGACAACCAGGGCCTGTCTCACTTTAGCTCTTGTTGGGGGCCGGGGTCTTGTTCTCCCCCTCCAGCTCCTCCACCCCCGCCTGCGTCATGAGGTCAGCGATGTTCTTCTCCAGGTCATCGATGCGACAGCTCATGTCATCGAGGGCACAGGGGTCAAGGAAACCACACCACAGATTTACCTCACAAATCCCACTGGCAAACAGACCTTATGATATTTATTGCACAGCACCCGAGCTTAAAAAAAAAAAAAAAAAAGGATATTTCTTCCGATGATTTGGTCAGACATGGTCTGAAATTTGTCCTGCATTTGCTGCAGCAGTGTCTGCACCTGATAGAAAGGGAGAAAAGAAATGTTTTGCTTTCATTAGAGGCTGTTGCATTACCTAATCTAATATAACGATGTAGCTACAATTTTCTTTCTTTGCTGAGCACAAGCGTGCCCAAACTCTGCATGTAATTATATATGTATGTAAAAATGGTACTTAAATATATATATATATTTACATAAATATATATATATATGTATACATAGAGGACAACTGAGGCTTACAGTAAACATTAGAGTAAACATTGGTTGAGCACTGAACAGGCTCCCCAACAGCACCAAGCCTGTGAGTTCAAGCAGCATCTGGACAGCGCTCTGAGGCACAGATTTCTGGGGTGTCCAGTGCAGGGCCAGGAGTTGGCCTCGATGATCCTTGTGGGTCCCTTCCAACTCTGAATATCCTATGACTTGTAAGACCTAAAAAAACGCCCGTGTTTTCACAGCCGGGGCTAAACCCCACAAGGGCTGTTTCCGCATCCTGTTAAACCCCCACCGGGGCCCTTTTGCTTCTCGGTACCACAGAACCCCCGGAACGGCTGGGGGATGAGGGGACCTTTACAGCCCATCCCGCCCCAACCCGATGCCACGGGGACGGGCGCCTTCCCCGGACCCGGCTGCTCCGAGCCCCGTCCGACCGGCCCCTGCCGCCCCGCTGCCCTCCCCGGAGCCCTCCCCGTCCCCCTGTCCCTCACCACGGCCGTCAGGTCCTGCACGCTCTTGGGGTCGGTCTCGGCCATGGTCGCTCCGCTCCGCCTGCGCCTCTTCCGGGCCGCGCCCGCCTCTTCCGCCGCCTCTCGCGAGAGCCGCGGGGCACTGTGGGAGTTGTAGTCCTCGCCCTCAGGTGTCCCACCCGGCCGGCATCCCAAAGATTTTTCGCTCTTTATAAGTTTCAGAACACAAAGGCGTTGGTGTTCATTGCCTACGAGTTACGTATTTCTCTCGTTAATTAGAATTCTATCCTCTGTTGGTTAATGGTTCTCTCCTCCCGTGCTGATTAGAGCCGAGTCTTCCTCCTCTTTCTTGGGTTTCTCGGGTCTGTGGTCACCATCTTCCCTTCATAGAGTCGCCTGTTGCCCAGTTCGGAGCTGATTCATCATAGTCACTCAATTATCTTTATCAGCTTCTTCCTTATCTTGAGAGTTCTGCCAAACATCCTTGTGGCCCATTCAATTCTGCATCCTCTGTGCCCGCCATCAGTGTTGCATCCTTGTCCCCAAGGTTAACATCCCCAACCTGGGGATGTTAACCCCCCACCCCCCAGGTCTGAGATCACTGGAGAATGCCCAGCCCTAAACCTCAACATGTTCTACCAACAAGTAATTTGTCTTTTTAACACCTGGACATCACCCAGTGCTTTTTGGATCTGCCCGTTTCACTGATTAAATCTCCCTTCTTGTTGATTATGCTTGAAAGCCTAGATGGTGGTGCCAGACTCTTTTTGGTGGTGCTCAATGACAGGATGAGGAGCAATGGCCATAAACTAAAAGGCAAGAATTTCCTTCCTCAACATGAGGAAGAACTTGTTTATAATGAGGGTGGCAGATCCCTGGAACAGCTGCCCAGGGAGAGTGTGGAGTCTCCCTCTCTGGAGACATTCCAAACCCACCTGGACACGTTCCTGTGTCACTTGCTCCAGGTGACCCTGCCTTGGCAGGGTTGTTGGACTGGGTGATCTCCAGAGGTCCCTTCCAACCCCAACTACTCTGTGATTCAGATTAAATCCATGCCCACCCCAGATTAGTGACATACTCTTTAAGATACCATAAAGCTCCACGGGATGGATTTGGGGATGGACACACATTACCTAAGTGTCATTTTATAGCTTTTTAAACCCAAACTGCTCATATTTAGATTTTGGTTGTGAAACAAGCACATGTTCACACACTCTGGTTATTGTGTACCCAGACAAGATCTGAACTTAAGAACCACATTGCATATGAATCTGTAAATGGAGAACGTTTAACAATCCCATTGAATACCAGCCTGTAAATGAGGAGTGTTTCCCACTCACAGCAGGTGGTTCTCAAATGTCTGCTTCCCCCTGGAAGGTGACACGATGTGCTGACACGCTCCACCTCATCCCACGGCCAGGAACAAACCTGAGCTGCAGGCTCTTTGCATTATTAATGTGCCATTTGGAGCACTGCAGGAATCATTAAAAAAAACTATTTAGTGCCAGTTTGGGGGGATTTTGTTGTCTTTTTAAAAGTAAATATGGCTTCTGGTACTGAAAAATGCTGAGAAATTTTCTCCCCTTCATTTGGTTGATGTGCTTAGGAAAGGTGATTGTTTTCAGAACTGCTGTTTGGAATCAGATAAACTGTTGTAAAAAGCCCCTTCGAACAGACCCAGATCTGGTCCCTTGGTGCTGTGATGTGACCTCACCCCTTTGTTCCAACCTGTCACCAACTGTGGCAGGTTTGGATACATCTGATCCCTCTTTCAGCTCAAACATCCCAATTCCATGTTCCATTTTAGGGTCTGGACAAGCCGTAGATGGTTTTGACGTATAACTTAAACAGAAATCCATTAACCAGTCCTTGTTATGCAGGAGTCAGATCTGACTGATGCAATGATTCCTCAGGCCACGAAGGTTTTTAACACGTGTCAAACGGCTTCACACTTGTTCTCACCACTGAAAATCTTTTTTCAGGTTAGGATAAAATATTTTTGTCATTTGTTTGCTTTCTGGAATGGTATAGATAAACAATGAGGGACATTTTGCAGGGTCTTGTCTCCTTTTTGAGGCTGCACTGAAAGAAAATGCTATGCAAGGAGGACTGGTGGGATTAATGACCCTTTCACAGTCGTGGTGGGAGATTACTCAGATGAATGGAGCTGCAGAAGGCTAAATTCTCTTGCTGGCTTTTTACTGACAAAGTCTTAATTTAAAGTATATAGGGGATGAGGAACTTTACAATTTACAAAGAGCCTGTTGTTTTCCTTAAAATCGAGGGAATGTACAAAGATAAATTTAAACACAGTTAATGAAACTCCTTTAAAATACAGGGATATGCAGTTCCAATGCAGAACAGCTGGACCTCCTACAGCAGTAGGTTGTGGCAGGCTTTGGACAAAAGCAGCACATTTTCAGTATTCCAGAGAACTCAGAATGAACTTTGCCTTTGTGGAGCCATGGTAGGGATTTCTGGTACTGGTGTCTTTAGGTCTAATCCAGTTCCTGTGTCCTTTGGTGAAGTAGGATTAGAGCTCAACAACTTGAAAAGAAAAAAAAAAAAAGACTATTAATTTAACAGCTTACTTTTTGTGCCAGTTAATGCCCAAATCACTTGAAATAGTTATTGCTGTAGAATTAATTCTACGTTTGTTGTCAGGCCTTCCTTCCAGTAATCATGACCCAGGGACTGGGAGACATCCAGTGAAATCTAAATTCAAAAAGGCACAGTAACATTTCCCAAAGGTGAGTTTTGCCAAGACAGTTGTTTTTGCAAAGAGCCCATTCTTAGCAAAACCACTTCTCTTGATTCTGTACTGGCCTCAGAGATCTGTGGTCCTGTATTTATGTCTTTTTTTAACAGCAGTTCTGCCAGAGGACCTCATTCCTGGTGGAATTCTAGTGCATTAGCTCAGTAGTAACAGCTAGAAAAGATGAAATTATTATATCTGTGTGTTGTGTGAGGCAATAAATAGCAACTATACTTTAATTGCTTTGACTATCAGATCTTATTTGGGCTCCCTGATGACTTTCAGATAATTGTGGTTGTTTTCATACAGAGATTGTGCTCTCAAACTGTTACAGCTCCTCTGTTCCTTCATTTCAGAGTGCTGAGTTTATGGATCTTAAGATACTTAGCACATAAAATCACAGGTTTTATTCTTTTTTATTCAAGCCCAAGATTTACAATGAAATCTTGAGATTAAATTTTAATATCTCAGTTACAACCTGAGTTGCTCATGGCAGAAATTCTTGGGAAAATAGAAAAAATAGGGCACAGAGAATTTATTTATTACTTCCAAAGCAATGACACTCCTTAGAGGCTGTTAAATATACACGAGGCCAGAACATATTAAAAAAAGAGCTGTTCTTAGGAAACAACTGTCAGGGGGAAAGTAAATGTTCAGTACCATGACTTGTGGATATTTAACTGATAAAACACAAATTATGGAAACGGCAAACCCAGGTCAGGAATAAATGTGAGAGTGATTTGTATTAAAGCAAAAACAATTCACTGGGCTTCTTTTTTAGATTATTCTTCAGCAGCTAAAACAACTTGGTTTTGCATGCATAGCTTCATGCAGTGTGAACCATGCACCAAAATGAGATATTTTTCTTCTCACATACAATCATAACAAATAGAAGACCTGAGTGCTGGTTTTGCAGCCTTTGAATTTCCGGGCTAATCAATCAAGCCAAGGAATTACTTGAAGGTTCAGAAGGGTTTAGCGCAACAAAGTTATTTTATGGTTTGACTCATGGAGAGATAAGCCTGTCTTTACAGTTCTAACTTGTTAATTAGCCCTGTCTTCTTCTTTACCCAAAAAGGAACGTGCACTGAGAGCCTGATCCTGCAAGTTGCTGATTATCAAGCAGCTGCCATATGGAACTGCAGGTGCTGAGCACCTCAGGATCGAGCCACGCTTGTTCTGCAGGCCGAGGTCCCCTCAAAAGGGGACAAAAACACAGCCTGCCAAACTCCAGGCGTTTCCTTGAGGAAGACACCCAAGGTTAGAATGTCTGGGTGAAATACAAAAAGTGCTGTCGGAGATGTTTTGGGCTCCAAATGAGGTGATAGTATTTAATCTCAGCTGGGAAGCTGGAAAGAGCAAAAAATAAATTCCACACAACGTTAAAAACAGCAACCTCAGTAAAGGGCATGAATTATATTGGTTCACTCTTGTGTAAAAATCCTGTGTGGGGAATGGGAATACTGCAGTGGGCAAAGGGGAATTTCCATCCAATGATTGTTGATCCTTGAGTGCTGTAAACTGCAGCCAAACAATGACTGTAGCAAAGTCATTGTAAGATTACTTAATCTTAACTAAGTAAGATTATTTCACCTTTTTTTTCCCTCCTGAATAAGCATTAATTTTTATAATTGTAAGAGTTTTCTGAGAGACACCAATTCTGTTACTCTCCTCTTTCCTAACTCCACTCATCAGTCATTCTATTTAAAGAGTTCTCTGCTCTAAGGATTATACATTTATATTTGAATTACAGCTGTTGTCTCTGTTTAATATATCTCCATGTACAACTTGTTTGCTGAAGCCTTCATTTCTTTCCACAAAGATAAAATAATGATTTATTTCCCATTTTATTTTTTTAATACACAATAATGAAATATTCCTTTATTTTATTGCTTGCCTTCTTGTGGATGAGCAGTTTAAGGATGTCTTACCTTTTGAATATTAAAAGTCTACCAGAATTAGCTGAAAATTTAAAGGATGACATTTCCTTGAGTATTTCTTACGGAATACATTGGCATTTGTGCTGCTTTGAATAGACAAAGCTGGATGATTTGATTATAAATACTTCATGTGTGGAGGAGAATAGGTAATTATTCTCAGTGTCTGCTCCACTAAGATGTCTTCTTTCCCTCTGTTATTGAGTTAAAAGAAGTTTGGCCAATCAATCATGAATTCACAACCGCATCTTTTAGACTGAAATTAAGGACAGTTGAAATTTTTCCTCATTGAGGTTTGAAACTTTTCCTTCCAATTCCAGCTCTATAAAACTCTCCAACCAGGAGAGAAGGATCATTTGTAAACGGACAGAGGTGCCACCTGGAAAACAAATGGACAACGGTGGAAGCCAGGCCAGAAAAGGGGGCAATT